GAGATGGGAGAGAGAACGCACTCCGAGGTGTGGTTAAACTTTACCCGTCTCGATGTGGACAGTGCTCGTTACCTAAAGCAAGTAAGAGTTTAGCATGTAAGGGCGGTAACACGAGCAATTTGTCTAAACATTTAGCAAAAGTGCTCCACATCCAGACGGAGGAATGCACCGGGTTCGACTGTCTTTCTAGTAGCTCTGTAGCCTCGTCCACGAGTAACGTTTCCACGTCAGGTGTTATGTATGCTAGCAGCAACACACAGAGTTAACTCATTATTCAAACATGGGTTAATGATTAGAGGTAACTGAGTTATTTATTTTGTTAAAGTATCAGGTATTCTGTTATCAGATTATTTAATATGATTTGTTAAAACATTGTTGTTTCTTTTGATGTGAAATATTATGTATTTAATTTCAATAAAAAGCAATGTTAGTTTTGTTCACAATTTGTTTAGTTAGTTCACCTTATTTATTTTTTTCTCCAAAAGAACCGATTAAAGGACCGGATCGATAAGCGGTATCGATAAAAGTAGTAGTACCGTTAAAACCTTAACGATACCCATCCCTAGTCTGATTTGCTTTTATGTCTTTTCTGTCATCAAATATATGAGATGTTCTTTTGGGTTTGGCCTTTCCTGCTAGTATTATATCAATTGCTTTGATTCTGAGATGAACCATCTCTACTTTTTCTGGGTTGTTAAAAATGTTAATTAACCCATTATTTTTCTTTCATTATTGATTAATGTGCCAATTGGCTTCTAGAGAAGTTGTTTGGTCTGTATATGCAATAAAAAGGTGAAGACTACAACCCTAGCAATGGGTCCACAATCCAAAAAGATCCTGTTGAATGAGATATAAAAGCGTCATTGTTTTTCAAAATAGCTGACTTTGTAAAGTCATCATACTTTCATTTTGCACTGGTGATGTTTGTGATCATTGACATCCGAGGGCTGAGTGAAACATACAGTCTGTTTCCCTCTGCAGGCTGACCCTCGCTTGCGGTGGCATTGCCATGAATTCAATTGAGGACCTCACACCCGAGTGCTTGGGACACGCTGGGTTGGTTTATGAACACACTCTGGTGAGTACCTATCAGTGTTTTTCTGGGTGTGATATTTTAAGATCTACTTTTCGTTCATAGGATATTGAGGCAGAGTTGTTCATCTGCCCCTATCCTGGTTTGCAGGGAGAGGAGAAGTTCACATTCATCGAGGACTGTAGCAACCCCCGCTCCGTCACCCTGCTGGTGAAGGGACCCAACAAACACACCCTCACACAGATCAAAGATGCTGTCAGGGATGGTCTGCGGGCCGTCAAGAACGCCATTGAAGATGGTAAGACCATCCAAAATGTTACCATGTGTCCGTATCATCTGACTTTGTTTGATCAGTTACTGTGTGTTCGACGTTCCTAATTTAAATCAAAGTTATAGTTGGCAGTAATCTTCTGCAGATTAGGATTCCCCCACATTGTTGAACCAGTTTGTTTTTTCAGACATACCTTTTTCTAAATGTAATTCAATGAGTTAGAAAATAAATATGAAGTTTATCTTAATGTAAAATGCATTTGGTGTCCTCTGCACAGCGAACACCCGGGGATGCTAACATGGCTCTCCCTGGCTCTCATGTCTGTGCTACAGTGACTCTGAACTGTTCCTCTGCATTAGGAGCGTTCCAGTCTCTCCTACATGTATTAACTGATCAGAACAAACTCCTCATTGACTCTGAGTTTAACATTGTTTTATGCCTTATTAAGCCAAGGAATGTATACTTGTGTTTTCTAAGTCTCTTCTCTCCCTCTGTGTTCCTTCAGGTTGCGTGGTGCCTGGCGCCGGTGCTTTCGAGGTGGCTGTGGCCGACGGTCTGGTGAAACACAAGCCCAACGTGAAGGGCAGAGCCCAGCTGGGAGTCCAGGCATTTGCAGATGCTCTCCTAATCATCCCCAAGGTACAAGATTCTACTTTCTTCCAAGGCTTTAAGTGTTTCCATATGATTGACTCTCCTTCTAAAGCTACACATTAGACAGGAACATTTGAAAAGAGGATTGCCATCTGTTAGCATTCTTACTGTATCGATCTCTGTATTTTAATTGTGCGTCTTCCTTGTAGGTTTTGGCCGTGAACTCTGGCTACGACCCCCAGGAAACCCTCCTGAAGCTGCAGACAGAGTACAAAGAGTCTGGGCAGTGTGTTGGAGTGGACCTCAGCACAGGTGAGAACCACAGCATGCTATTGACAGAACAACAAAATAATAATTAAAGTGTTATTGTTGTCCCTCACTCGCTTATCACAGAACAGATACACTTCCAATCTATTAAATGTATGAATCCACACTGCCTCTGTGAGTTGCATGTCTACAAGATCACCTGTTGTTTTTTTTACATCTTAAATCTATTTTTTTCCCGTGAAGTGCAATCTGCACACACGGCTGTTCTGACAACACAAACATTTTGCTTTGTATTTTTGTGGATTCTCGTTCGTCTTAGTATTACTATGGATACGGTACAGTCATAGAATGTTCCTGTTGCTAAGCCCCTAAATACTCGGTTGGGTCATATTGCACATATATTCCAAGCTTATTGTTTTGAACTTGATATCTGTTGTTCTTCAGGGGAACCCATGGTGGCAGGAGAAGCAGGCGTTTGGGATAATTACAGTGTAAAGAAACAGCTTCTCCATTCATGGTGAGTAACATATTTCTAGTGTAAAAGACGGATTGAATATTTGAAATTCTCCTCATCGATCTATTACGTGACGTTTCATTCCTTTACAGCACGGTCATTGCCAGCAACATCCTGCTGGTGGATGAGATCATGAGAGCTGGAATGTCTTCTCTGAAAGGTTAAAGGTCATCAGAAGAAGCCGCAGCTGTTGTCATACTCGGAGGGATAGTTGGAGGGATAGTTGTTTACCTGACGGTTCAACGTGTTCCCGCTATAGGAACTCTGAAAGCCACCCCCCCCAGTCAGATGGACGGCCCACTGTACTCCCACGGCCTCCGTCACAGCGGCAGTCAGAAACCATTGTTATGCTTGTCACAGGTTTTTTTTTCCATGGATTTGTCGACGCCTCCCTTTGGTTTATTTATGAGATTTTGTTAAAAGCACTGACTCCTGCCACTCGGTTCTGTTTCTACCCATTAAAGATTTTCATGGCTCTTGAAAGATGTGGTTGTGTTTGTCGTGCAGAGTAATTGTGTCTATGCAATGAAAATGACTTCAGAGAGGGAGAATGTGCTCAAACTCAAAAATAAACTTCTCTGATGTAATGAGCTATATATAATAATAGTGGCACAATAAAATATTGAAATGTAATGTCCAACTTCAAATCATTTCCATTGTTTGCTACTTGAACTTAAGCATTTTCTGCTATTTCCTTTTGATTCTTTTAAATTAACATTATTTTTGCATTGAGTGTCACTAAAATCAAAGCTTTCCAACAAAGTAGTGAAACCTAACTTCTCTACCAGTTGCATCAAATTCTTCTCACACCCGAATACATCAGAAATAACTCCTTATTGAACTCCTATTCGATAAGGGGCATTCACTTTCCACTGCACATAGCATATATTTACAGTATGATCAACTCAAGAACCTGGATGATTTAGTATTACATTCATTTAGAGTAAATTAGACTCAGATTCAGTAATGTATGAAAAACTTACATTGCAGGTTCGTCAATAAAAAACAATTCAAATAGTCCAAGCTCAGGTGTTAAATAGTCGACTTCGTATTAGTATCAACATTCATAAATTACTTTATTTCAGGTAAAGACTTTTTGTAATTTAATCTTCGTTTATTTTCAAATGAACCATGAATACATTAACAGCCAACAGCGTATGTTCCCTTTATGGGTCATTCAAGATTTGGAGGACAATTTACACAGCAACATTTTTGAAAAATGAACCTTTTATTTTATAATTGTTATGTATTTAGGAAAAACAGATAAACCATCAAAAAAAGTGATTTGCCCAGCTAGGGCATCAAAGTTATATTTTCCAATGAGGAATTACCGCCGTTACTCTAATTATAGTAACAGGGTTGAAAATCAATGCTAATTTGAGCTTTAACCTCAGGAATTATTGCTAGATGTAGCATGTAATGCTACTTTCAAGGACAAACTTGGATATCTAATGAAAGAAAGATAACTTTAAAATTAATATGCTTTATTCTGATAATATGAGTAACAGGGTTGAGCGGGTTAAAGTGCCACAATCTTTTAAGACTGAAAAGATTGTTAAAATATGAAAAATAAAAGAGAGGACTTAGTTTTGGTCTACCCATGGCACTAGCACATGGCTTCTTGCTGATGTCCTTTCCACTGTGTCATCTGATTTACAGTTTTTTCACTTCCTCTGCCAATCTAAAAAGGTTTGGGTAACAGGGTTGAACCGGGTTGAACGCATGTTGAGGGAAACACCTTCTGTGCAAAATTACTGTTATTTAAAATATGTTTATGATTTAACAAATTGATTTGACCATAACAAGAGACATATATCAATAGAATAATACCAAAAAAAGTAATTCAAATCCCTATTTTAAATGTTATATTTGACATGCAAGTTGGTCACCAAGAAGCGGGGACAAGAGAAAAATGCCATTTTAGGGGGTGTTCGAGAGCTATTTGATCATTTAAATAATATTTTGAAACCACTTTTTCTACAACTTGATATACATTTGGTCTCAAGACAAGTATGTTTAACACAACAAGTGCATGTTTTAGCTTTTTGGGCATGGATTATTAGATTCTTTTATATGGGGGACATGAAATGTCCTCCAATTCTGGAATGGCCCATATAACAAGTGTGTAAAATACAGTATAATTTCTCTTCAGCTACAAGTGAAATAACAAATAATATATCACTATTCGTGGCTTTAGGCGTTCCGTTGATACCGTTAATTCCTCTAAAAACATTCATGATTCATGACAGGGAAAAGTAATACAAAACTAAATGAACTCTTGTGATTCGAGTTTTTATAAAACGGCGGAACTTTTTATTTTCCACGGAACCTGTGTATCGTTGAACCCATTTCCGGTGCGACGGGGAAATGTGTCCGATAGAAATGTAACTGTTACATCGAAGTTTGAGAAGTTCTGCTGCTTGTTTGCTATTTTAAACTCGTATCTGTATAAAACGCTATATATATATGTGCTTAATGGTGAATCACTGTAAGGTAAGACTAGCTTGTCAAAATGAACGCCAAAGTATTATTCGTCATATCTGCGGTCTTTTCACTGGCAGCTGCGGGTAAGGAATCACATTTCTGAACAAACTAAAACATAAATGATATTAATATTGAATCAGCCCAATGGACATGTTTCCTCCCGATACACAGCAGCGGGTGAGATGGTGAATATATCCAAAGGAAAGATGGTAATGGGAACCAGTGCAGCTGATGGGAGAGATGGAGAGGGACCCGTCAAGGAGGTTAAAGTGAAGCCCTTTAAAATGGACAAATACCCGGTGACAAATACTGATTTCAGGTAAGACAACTTGAAATATGATATCAAGGTGTCCTATAATCAGTGTTGGAAGAAGTACTCAAATTCTTTAATAAAGTGTACCAATACTATGGCCTTACAAGTAAAAGTCCTGATTTCAAAGCATCAAAATATACTTAAAATTAATTAAAAGTAGCCTACTCATTCTGCAAAATGTCCCATTTCTGAATAATATAAAGTACGTAAGTATTATCAGCTAAGTGTACTTCAAGTATCAAAGTAAAGGTACTTGTTATGCACGACGGATCTTTTGAAAGTGTTATATTATTATGGTTATTATATCCATGTAAGAGCATTTTATTGTTGTAGTTTGTCAACGTTGACCAAAGAAAGGTACTATAAATAATATGTAGATTAGTAGTAGGCCTACAGTACTGCATTATACCACATCAGCTTATCATTTGTTTTTATATGTACAGAGTAACTAGTAACTGTGAGTGTTATAATAAATGTAGTGGTGTAAAAAGTACAATGTTTGCCTCTGAAATGTAGCAGAGCAGAAGTATAAAGTAGCATTGAAGGAAAACACTCAAGTAAAGTACAACTATGTCAAATAAGTACCTAAGAACAATACTTGAATAAATGTACTTAGTCATTTTCGACCACAGCTCAGAATGAGTTCAAAAGAATAAATCAAATCCACTGACTTGGCCTTCATTCCCCACAGAGACTTTGTGAGAGCACAGAAGTACAAAACTGAAGCTGAGACGTTTGGTTGGAGTTTTGTGTTTCAAGACTTTGTGTCAGAAGAGCTGAAGAGCAAAGTCACACAGAAGATTGAGGTACTGGGATTTTGGAGTAAATTAAAACATCATTTTTAGTCTGACATGAACTGACCATCATTTAAAAATGAAGTTGATGTATATCTTTCCTTCCCATCCAGTCTGCTCCTTGGTGGCTGCCTATTGATCGGGTGTTTTGGAGACAGGTGAGGTGACGAATGAAACCTTATCTCTTCCTTTGTATTTCGGTATTTATGCTAGAGTGCCTTCATTGTCTGCCTTTCATTTCCCCCCCCCCCCCC